GGTGGGCGGGGCTCTCCCGGCTAGGGTTCGGCGTGGTGCTTGACCAGGTAGCCGCTGAAGGTGATGTAGGTGTCGAACTCGTCGCTGAAGACGGCGTTCTCGCGCTCGCCCTTGAAGAGGCGCACCCACACCTCGTCCTGCTCCTGCAGCGCCAGCATCAGGCTCTGGCTCTGCATGATGCTGCGGTCGCTCACCTGGGCGTACAGGATCACCGCCTCCTCGCCGTTGCGCATGATGTGCAGGTACGTCTCCTTCTGGTTCCAGGTGTGCACGTTGAGGCTGAAGAAGTAGATGCCGGGCACGTAGCAGTAGAACTTGCCCGTGAACATATTGAAGTGGCCGTAGAGGTTCACGAACTCCGTGTCGAAGACCACCGTCTGGTAGTAGTCATTGCTGTGCAGGGGCTTCTTCCGGCCCACCGAGAAGGCGGCGTAGTGGTTCTTGCACCGGTCCCCGGGAGCGCCGATTGAACCTTTCTGCCCTTTCGGGCCCACGTGGCCCCTGGCGCCCGCCAAGCCTGTCTTGCCATATTTCCCCTGGAGGCCCCGGTCCCCTCGGTCACCCTTCTCACCTGGAAAGGACGACATGTGGCCCTGGGTGGGTGGCCCGCTGGGTGTCCTGGGCCCGGGCCTTGTGCGTCTTGCCTCGGGGGCGACCTCACTTGCGCCTCCGCCCCCACCCCAGGAGAGGTCCCCCATCCCAGGAACCCTCTATTTAGAATCCCGAATCAGTCAGACAGGCAAATTGGAGCTCCAGGAGCGTTCTGCTCTCACCCAGCACCACTGCCGTCCTCTGGGAAGCCCTGGCCACGAGAAGGGACGTAGGAGCACGTGCGAGTGTCCGAAAGCCCCAGGCTCCTAGCCAGGCCCCAGCTCACAGCGAGTGCTGCAGGTGTGGGGGCACACCCCGGGTCTGGGGCCCCCGCGTCCCCAGCTGGGTTTGGCGGGGCCGTGGGGGGTTCTCTGTTGGGTGCAGGACTGTGGCTCCTGAGACGCCACACTCAAACAGGACCTTACAGGCCTACGTCTGCATGCGGGTGGGGGCGAGGCCCCACAGTCCTGCGGCTCCCTCTCCTGGTCCCCATCCTGTGGGCCCCTTTCATAAAGGGGCAGAGGCTCAAAGTGGATTCTGAAACCATGTCCCCCCTGCTCCCAGGTGACAGCGGACCTCTGCTCCTCCTCGCCTGTCCTTCTGCCCTGACCAGCCCCACCCTCACGGCCCCGGGGAGCCCCGCCCCTCTCTGCAGTGCTCTGACCTTTCAGGATGGTGATGTTAATCTGGGGTGCTGGAATCGCCTGGTACAGGGGGGCACCGGGGTCGCAGCAGCGAAAGCACCGGGGAGTGGGCAGCTCCTGGTGAGGGCTGTACTTTTCGTCCCTGAGGGGAGGAAGCATCGCAGTGACAGCCGTGAGCCCTCAGGCCCAGCGCCTCCCCGCCCCCTGTGGCCCCGGAGCCTGGGGCTAACGCGGTTCCTCCTCAGTGGAACTTCAGCCTCCCACCTCCATCACAGCAATCGCGACAGCAGTGGGGAGGCTGTCCAGGGCCCCGTCTTCCAGGGGCAGGGCAGGCACATGCACACATGTGCCTGCGTGTGGCGTGTTTATGCACGTATGTGTGTGGCGTGCACATGTGACTTCCCAGCACACAGCTCCGACTCCGGAAAGCAGCACGGTAAGCCAGCCAGTTTGAGAGGGCAGGTTCAATTCAGGGCTTGGTGGTCCTTTGGGGGCAGCCTCGATGTCTCCAGCCGGACAGGAAGGGAGGACAGCGATGGCTCCGTGCTGCCACCTGGTGGCATCTCGCCACATTGCGGCGTGCTCTGGCTGCTGCCCTTCCCTCTCAGGCTGGAGTTGTGACCGGCTTCTGGGGAGCACAAGGCCTGGCTCCATGGGCCAGCCCCTTGTCGAGTTGTGCGCCCCCCACATCCCGGGAAATCCGGGTGTACCTGAACACTGTCTGCGCAGCCCCACGAGACTGGACTCCCAGAGGGACCCGCACGGTCCCCTCACCAGAAGTCTCGTGAGAGACGCAACACCCCCCGCAAACATCGCGTGTCTAGAACTGAAGCCTGTCCCTGAGCATCGTCACCGTCAGCCTCACCTGGACGCTGCCAGGCCTCGCCCCACACCCGGCAGAGTCCCCAGGAGGAGCCGGCCCCAGAGCACCCCCAGAGCTGCCGCGGCTGGCACCGTCTCACCCGCCAGGCCCCTCGATTGGCCTTCCTTGCCGGTTCACGCCCTGCTGCCTCTCCGCTTGTTCTAGACACCCTTGAACTTACACCTCCCGACTCCCCGACCCTGCAGGGCAAGTCCAGGCAAGACCCTTCCCCACTGGCCCCTTCCTTCTGGGCTCTGCTCTCACCCGCCCCCTACCAGCCCCACCACCCAGAACGCCCCTTACACCGCCTGCCACGGCACACACCAGCCTCCCCCAGGCGGCCCTCCAGGAATCCCCAAAGTTCACCCTCCTGCTCAGTCTTCCTGGTCCCCCAGCATTGTGGGCACGGCCCCACTGGGAGCCCACTTCCCTGCACTGTGGTGTGTGTGCCTGTGTGTGGTGTGTTTATGCATGCATGTATGTGGCATGTGCATGTGTGGTATGTGTGTGGCAGGTATATATGTGCATGCACGCGTGTATGAGGGGTATGTACATGTGTGTGGTGTATATGGTGTGTGCGTGTGTGTATACATGTGTGTATGTGTGTTATATGTGACTGTGTGGTGTGTGTATATGTGGTGTATTGCGTGGTACATGTGCCATGCATGTGTGGTGTGTGGCATGTACACATTTATGTGTGTGTCCGTGGTATGTGTGCATGGGTATATATGTGTGCACGTGTATGTGCATGTCCCCCACAGCTCTGGCGGCCAGGGATGGGGCTGTGCGTGTTTCCCAGAGCTTCTCGAGTGGTCTGGCCCGCAGAACGCCCTGAGTTTGCTGAGTGACAAAACATGAGGGAGAAGGGAAGGGATGGCGTTACCGGGCCCCGAACCCTGCCCAGCTCCGCTGTGCTCTGCGCATGGCCAGAAGTCCTGCACGTCTGGGCAGCCAACACCCGAGCCCGCACAGGGGCTCGAAGCCAGCACTGTCACCCAGGTCTGCAGCACCCCCGTCCCAGGTGTTTCAAGACATCCCAGATAGCCTGGTGTCACCGAAGGTCATGGGAGGAAAAGGCCATCCCGAGGCCCCTCGCCACTTTTCAGGGACAGCTGACACATGGCTGCCCAGAGCTCACTGTCCTCTCCCATCTCGTGACTTACATGGCACTGGGGCCGCCGGGACCAGATCTTGGTCCAACATCCCTCCTGGGGCCGCTGGCCTCTGCTCCTGCCTCCAGGTGGCACTAGAAGCCCAACAGACACTCCCAGGGACAAAGCCAGAGTGGAAAGACACAGAGGGCAGGGGCGGGGCCTGGTCTGCCCTGAATCTGAGTGGCCGTGGCTGCAGGATCTCTGGCAGACCCCCATTCCTTTAGGGTCAGGGTGCACAGGGCCGCTGTCCTTGCGTAAGCCACCCAAGTCACTGGGGCCAGTCCCTGGGGGCCCCGAGCCCAGCCCCTGGCAGAGCCAGAGCCCCTGCAGTCACCTCTCTGCATGGTCTTCCAGTGGCGGTGGCTCCTCGGTCCCCTCCTGTTCCTGTAGCCCCTGCTGGTCACGGGGCACACGGCCCAGGACAGGGCCAGAGGCGAAGGCCAGCAGCAGGCAGCACCCCAGCACGAGTCCCCGTCCTCGGGACCCCATTGTCCTGCCGGGCCCTGGAGGGAAAGGGACACATAGGAGGCTCTGGGTTAGCAAAGGACCCCGAGCAGAAACGGAGGCCCCGGGGATGCAGTCACGCTCCCCCAGGAGCAAGCACACACCACACCCTCACACACCCTGGCACTCGCACACGCACATACTCCTAGACACCGTGCATGTGCACACCTTCACGCACACACCTCACTCCCCCGTTCACATGCGTGCAGACATGCACACACGTACCCAAATCGCTCATATGCTGATACTGGGCCACACCCACATGCACTCACACACAGGCACACTTGCACTCACGTGCACACACGCTCACGCACACGCACACACACACTGCCCCCAGCCTCAGCCCGCAGGGTGGGCAGAGAAGCGTCGTTGAACGCAGGCAGTCTGGGCACTCACAGTCACTCGGGAAGGACGGCCCAGCGGGTGCTGGCCCTACAGATGATGGGTCACACCCCTCAGGACAAGAGTTTTGAGCGGTTGCTGTCCAGTGACTCTAAGCAGCACTGGCCCCTGGCCTGGGTCCTTTCCAGATGGTCCAGCCAGTGGGGAGCCAGGTGGCTGCAAGCTGCTTCCTGGCCACCATGGGGCACGTCAGCATCTAGTTTAGGGAGGGTGTCAGTCCAGCCCGGAGGTGGTCCGGGTCATGGCGGTCCACCCTGCTTCTCACTCACTGCACTCAGCAAAACTAGGACTTGACGCTCCTGACGTGCCAGGTCGGTCCCTCTGGGAAGAGGCCCACCATGGGTCCCAGTGAGCCCATGGGAGGAACCACTTGAGCTTAAAACAGACCAACCCCTACTTGCTCCCAAGGCCGGCAGTGTCGCCCAGCTCACTCGGGGCCAGCGGGCCACATCTAGATGGGAGTCACACACATGGGCCGCTTCAGCGGGTCGCATGCCCCCACCCTCGGAGGGGCAGCTGTAGTCATTCTAACCCAGACCCAAAGCTGGAAACACTAGAGGGAGGACCCAGGAGGACCCACGAGAAAGCTGAGGCCCCTGGGGTAAAGACCACCTCCCTGTGCCACCCGGTGAGGAGAGGACTCGGGTCTCCCTGAGAGGCAGCTGGCAGGAGCAAGGGGACGGTCTACAAGGGCCTAGATTGGGTCCTTTTCCTCCTTTAGTTCCTTGTGGGTTTAGGGAGGACTAAAACCTGAAGGCCGATTTCCTCAGTTGTCAGAAACCGCAGACCCTGATGTGTGCTCCCTCTTTTCTTGGGGAGCAGGACATCTTTCAAATACCCATCACCTGAGGGATTCAGAGCCTGTGGGGGTGATGCTTCCCCAGGGTAGACTCTGGGGCCACAGGTGTCACTCCACGAGGCAGTGGCTCTGAGTAGGTCTTAAGAGAGAGGATCCCCTGCTGAGTAGGTCTTAAGAGAGAGGATCCCCTGCTGGAACCCACGCAAGCCACAGGGAGGAAGGTTGAGGGCACAAGGGCTCCGTCCGGAGAGCAGGGCCCCGTCCGGAGAGCAGGGCCCCGTCAGGAGAGCAGGGCCCCGTCAGGAGAGCAGGGCCCCGTCCGGAGAGCAGGGCCCCGTCCGGAGAGCAGGGGCCCCAAGCACTTCCGGAGGCACCTCCGGACAAGGGGGCTGGGAGGAAGGCAGTCTCCCCGACCCCCTCCTTCCTGCCTGCACACCACAGTGGCTTACTGGGCCCCCACCTCCGAGCCCTCTCCCAAGCACCTGCCCCCCATGGGGGTCAGGGCCCTTCCCGATGACCAAGGGCTCTGGTCAAAGCTTCAGACCTGCCCACTGCTCGCCAAGGACAATGTATGCGCAATTACTTTACAAAATGCAGGTTAAATCGTGCCCCAGCTCCCAGGCCCCTCTTCCCTGTCCTCGCGGCACACCTCCTCCTGTGTCCCTGCCCTGGGCTTCTCAGGCCCGAGGTGCACACCCGCCCGCCCAGCTCCTGGCCCCCGCCTGCCTCTGCCGTGGCCAGGGCACCCCTCACGTCTGCCGACGGCTGGACTAGCTGGACCACGTTGCGCGAGCCCTCCACTGAGGGTCCGCAGTATTTCAGTCAGTCCCCGCAAACCTAGAATGGGGCTGAGAGCACGTCCTCACCCATCGCCTTCCCCCAACAGCCCTCACGTGGCTCCGTGGTGAGTCCTGCAAGAAGTTAGTCCTTCATTTTTTTTCCATAGGGAACGTGCACTCCCCAGAGAGAGGCAGGGGGAGAGGGAAGTGAGGAAGTGTCCACCTCCCGGGCCGGGCCATGCTGCCGTCCCTTCCCTCCAGCTCTTCCGGGATTTGGGGCACGCACGCACACGCTCCCGGTGTGTGTCTCAAGCTGCTAGACCCAGGACTCGAACCGTGTAGTCAGCCATGTGGGAGCTCGCCACCTTAACCACCATGCCACGTGGATGGTCCCTGGTCATTATTACACCAAACTGATAAGTGAGAAAACAGACAGGCAGCTTAATTAGCCGGAGGCTGTCCGGCCCGTACGCTAGTGGCTGCATTCGAACTCAGACGGCTGACCTTGGCTGACACCAAACCTGATCCACGCAGTCTTCAAGCCGCGCCGCGTCTGAAGCTTCTGGGACCACTCAGCTCGGACATGCCCCGCCTGCCGCCTCCTGCGGCTCGCTGCTCACGCTCTCTCATCCTGCAGCTGTGTTTGGCCGCGAGCTCCCAGCCGGCAGACGGCAGACGGCACAGGGCTGCCTCCCGCCTGGGCTGTCGGCCGGCCCAGCACCCTGCAGCACGCGGCCCTCCCTGGTGCTCAGCAAACACTGCCAGCCCGGCTCCAAACGCGTCTGCCTGTGCTTCCTCTGGTTCTCCTTGGCGCCTTAGTAATTACTCCCCCCGTTAAATGCCAAGCTTGCATCAGTTAAAAGGAAAAGAAGTGTTCTCTTCTTTAAACATTTTTTTTCTCAATCCAAAATAGTATATATTCATTTCGGGAAAGTTGTAGGGAGACAACAGGAGGAAGTAGAAGTGGCCTTGGGTCCTCCTCCCCAGCTCTCCCAACCGGGCACTATTGTCACTCGGTCTGTTGGGGGCGGGGGGCGCCTGGGCACCCTAGGGGACCGAGCAGTGTTCCTGTGCTCAACCCCCTGGCGCCATGAGCACTGCCCCAGCTGCACCCGACAACCAACAGTGTCACCAGGCATTGCCGTCTGTCTGTCCTGGGTCGGGGGAACCTCACCCTGGTGAAGAGCCACGCTCTACCCCCATGCAGGTCGATGACCCTGCCCCTTCCCAGTCTGGAAAAGGAACTTTCTAACCCAGCTCGGAAGAGATGGGGCCCAGCTCTGGGTAGGGAGGCGACGGCAGGGGGGCGGGAGCATGGGTGGCCAGCAGGGTCTAGGACGTGGGGCTGAGGAGTGGGCAGCGGGGCCGTCAGGGGCCTCCTTGAGAACCCCCTCTCGGGCCGGTGCCAACCTCCATCGGCTTTGTCCATCTTTGGAAAGAGCTTGAGAACCCTCTGCCAGGTCCCACAGCAAAGGCAGCCTCGTGGCATCAGGGTCACGTTAGTCACTTTGGGGTGAAAACAGGATTGCCCAACGTCTAACCACACTTGGCTCCAGCCGCATCTCGCCATTTCCAGCAAAACGAAGAGGTTTTGTCCCCACGAGGGTGCTCTGAAGAATGTGCTGTGCTCAGCAAAGGCAGGGCCGGGGAAGAGGCCTCCTGACCAACGGTGGGTCACCCCCATGAATTGCGGGCCACGTGGCCCGGGCTCTGGCCACGCTGTGGTCGAGGCCACTGAAGGCAATGCCAATGTGACTCAAGCCCCTCACTTAGCTCCCCTAGACTCGGGATAGGAGTGTAAATGCCATGGGGAATGTACTCCCGTCTTCTGTCTCCACCCCTCCTCTCAGGGCCTGCAGCTCCTCGACACACCCCTCCACCTCCACCTAACCCCTCCCCGACAAGGACGGCCCCTTACAGGAGGTAGGAGGCAGGAGTGGAGAGCTGGCAGGATCTGGGGGCGGGCAGGAGGTCTCAGAACATGTCTTTGTTTACAATGTTTACCCCTTCACAGGCCTCATGCGGATCCTTCAAGGATATTCCTGCCCCAGTTCAAGGCTCCTTATGTTTGCTCAAAATCCGTCCAATGGGGATGGAAGAGCCAGCTGATGGCATAGCAGTTACATTCTGGACTCCCACATGGCTGACCACGGTTCCAGTCCCAGACCCGGTGCCATGAAACTCACATGGGGCACATGTGCTTGCATATCCAAGATCCTGGGAGGAGAACGGAGGAGACAGGATTGCAGTGTAGCCACCTCCCTGGAGGGTAATTTCTCATTTCCCCTCTCACTGTCTCTGTCCCTCTCTCTTCCGCAAGTGCATGTGCCCTGAGGCAAAAAACTCATAAAAAAACAAAATTAGTCTATGGGTGTCGGCCCCACCCCAAGCTGTGCTGACGAGACACCTGGAGGAGCCAATGTGCTTGGGTTTGGTCTCGACGCCCCGCCCACCCAGTGCCATGGGACAGAAGCATTTTGCAAACAGTTTTCCTTCCTCGATCCTCGCTCGATCCTCATCGGGCGAGCGGCTGTCCTGAGAGGCAAGACACCCATGCTCTCCTTGAGTCAGACAGGCCCAGGGCCCGTGCACAGGAATCCCCTCCGCCGACGGCTGAGCACAATGCCCACGATTGCAAGAGCTTACAGGAAGTGACTCGACCTAAATCCATACTCCCGGGCCTGGAGAATGTTACAGCCCCTGAGGGAGATGGCTGTGCACCCGTCCCGCTCAGGACCCCACGGCAAGTGCCGAGTCAGCCTGGCCGGTGGGTGATGCCCTGGGCTGTGCTGTCCGGGGTGCTGGCTAATGAAACTCAGTCTCTCGATCACACCAGTGACCTTTCTGAGGCTTGATAACTACATGTGGCTGGTGACACCTGTCAGGAAGACACCGCAGACGGCTCCACGGGCAGCTCTGTCTTCGATGACAGGGGAGCCAGCGTGGGAGGGAGTGGGGTCCAGGGATTAGCAGCGGGCCAGAAATCTGCTGCCCCTCGAGCATCTGCCACATCCAATCT